TCTCACAAACAAGGGACTCTCTTCCCCCCTCATGGATATGTTTTACAACAAACAAACAAACAGACCAGCTGTTTAGTAGCTTCCCATATCTGCCCTTAAAAGGGAAAACAAATATGTGATCTTAAAACTTGAAGATTTGAGAAAAAGAAAAGCACATTTAAACGATGTCTTACTCATCCAGTAAGAGGACATTGGTGTGCCTGATGCAGTGGTGTAATGGGTTAATTCTGTCCTCGTCCCCTGGCCTCTCTCAAGGCAGCAGCAGCAGTGTGATTTGCAAGTGCCTGGGAATATCCCTGCTGGATTCTAATTGTCTGTGGCAGTCCGCACATGATTTCATGTGTTTGGTCACAGCAGTCCCCCTTTCCTGCTCCTTTAATCTTTGATGGAGACACTGATGTGGCTCATACCACAGGCAGTGAATTTAGAAGAGCAGTTTGTCTTTCCTCCTGATTGGGTCAGACAGCATTTATTAATGGAACCCCTTCCCAGGAATGCGAAAACAGGGAATGCTGCTGTTGACGGGAATGACAAATTGAATCTGTTTAAATATGCCAGATGTTCCTAGCTTCACATATATGGCACTCTCAATCTGGATGTCGGTTGCATTTCTTTTAAATGGGGAAGCCCATATTATAGGCCTAAATTAGTTTCACTGTCATCCCCTCTTCCCTGCAAGACCCTGGAAAGTGTAAATCTGTGTCACAGAACTAAAGATCTCCAACTTCCGATTCTCAAAGCACCTCACCAAACTCTGAAACCCCAAGGGAGCCTTTTAAAGCTTTATATCACAGCCAAAGTGACATAAAACTGAGAACTAAACGTGTGGCAGAGACAAAGCTGAATTACCTATGGTTTACTGTGAAAATTGGTCTTTGCTCAGTCAAAAATTGGTCTTTGCTCAGATCTGCCCCTTCCCTCCTGACTTTCAGAAAGCTGGTAAAATCTTGGCTCTGGAACTTAGCATTCTCAGAATGATGATCGTGTCAATAACTACTGACCACACTGACGGATGGTGATGGATTTGTGATTTACCTGGATGACTTGGCTTTATGTAATTATTTAATCTGTATTTTAATGTATTTTAATGTATTAATGTATTATGATATTAATATGCTTTAGCTTATTTGTGTATGAATTTCCTGTTGTTAGCCGGCCTGAATCCCTCTTCAGAGGTCGAGAAGACCGGGTTATAAAAGCTCTAAATAAATAAATAAATAAATACATAAATAATAAAACCACGTGCTATGTTAATTGTGTAGAGTACAGAAAAGTCTCAGATTCTCTCTTATTTCTAAATAGATACATGCAAACGAGGAGAGGTGGGTAAGAAATAATAATAATAATAATAATAATAATAATAATAATAATAATTTTTTGTGTCAGGAGCATCTTGCGAAACTGCAAGTCACTTCCAGTGTGAGAGAATTGGCCATCTGCAAGGAGGTTGCTCAGGGGACACATGGATGATTTGATGTTTTACCATCCTTGTGGGAGGCTTCTCTCATGTCCCCGCATGGGGAGCTGGAGCTGACAGAGGGAGCTCATCAGTGGTCTCCCTGGATTCGAACCTCCAACCTGTTGGTCATCAGTCCTGCTGGCATAAGGGTCTAACCCAGTGGTTCTCAACTTGTGGGTCCTCAAGTGTTTTGGCCTACAACTCCAGCCAGTTTACCAGCTGTTAGGATTTCTGGGAGTTGAAGGCCAAAACATCTGGGGACCCACAGGTTGAGAACCACTGGTCTAACCAATTGTGCCACTGGGGGCTCCTAATAATAATAATAATACAAAATCCAGAATATAGATCTCATTTGCTGTGGCATACTGTGTTTTTGTGTCAGTAAAATAATAATAATAATAATAATAATAATAATAATAATAATAATAATACTTTATTTATTTATTTATTTATTTATAGGCTACTCTATCTCCCTGAAGGGACTCAATTATTATTATTATTATTAAATTATAATTATAATTATTATCTTGATTAAGGCCCTTTCTACACTGCCATATAATCCAGATTATCAATGCAGATTATCCAGAATATCTTCTTTCAACTGGATTATATGAGTCTACACTGCCATATAATTTAGTTCAAAGGAAATAATCTAGATTTTATATGAGAGTGTGGAAGGGGCCTAAGACTATGGCTGGATCTTGTTGTTGTTGTTCATTCGTTCAGTCGTCTCCGACTCTTCGTGACCTCATGGACCAGCCCACGCCAGAGCTCCCTGTCGGCCGTCACCACCCCCAGCTCCTTCAAGGTCAGTCCAGTCACTTCAAGGATGCCATCCATCCATCTTGACCTTGGTCGGATCTACACTGTCCTATATCCCAGGTTCTGATTCCAGATTATCTGCTTTGAATTGGATTATATGAGTCTACACTGCCAGATAACCTGGGATAAGCAGATAATTTGGGATCAGATCCTAGGATATAGGGTAGTGTAGATCCAGCGTATGGTATGTGCAAAAGGGATTTTCAGCTTTCTTCCTACACTTATTTTCCCTTTAAATTTGCCCCCTCCTCTTGAGATGATTTTTAAAAAAGACCTCATAGTTACTAATGGATGATGTTTTTATATGGAGAGATGAAGAATCTAAAAGGAAATTGTTGGTAATTAAAGTCAAGCATTTCTCTGGCAGGTTGCGGCATCCGTACTGCCCGCATTGTGCTGCCCGTGGACTCCTCTGCTTCCTGGGGTTCCCCATGGGGTTCCCATAAGTGCACATTGGTGAGCAAGGAACAGAGCGAAGATGGAGCACAAGGAAGCTCTCCCAGTGCCTTGGCCTGGCTTCCAGTGCCCCCCTCTGAATCGGGATCCTAACCCCTTCGTTTCCGAGTGGGGATTTGAGCCCGAGCGCAGCAGAGAGCCCCGCCTTCACGCTGGTGTGAACCGCAGCGGAGAGTTCCGCAGTTCCTGGTTGTCACAATTGGAAGAAACTGATGAAATGTGCCCCAGCAGGCAGCTCAATAATAAGAATGCCTGCAGCCTTTCTTTACTTTCCCCTCTCCCTACATTGTAACAAACCCTAATAAAAGTACTTGAAACTTGCAACATTTAGTCTTTCCGCTTGATACTTTTGTATCTTTCCTTGCCTCAGACTAATTCAACATTAAAATAAACCTTTTTCCAGGCTCCGGAGAGCCGTGAGCCTGCTGGGGGGGCGCCTACTGGCCCCCCCGGACCCCGGATCTGCATTCGAAAAAATCGCGGATACCGAAACCGCCATTTTGGACCCCAGTAACCACTAAAACAGTAATATGGCGGATCGACGCCGTTCTAATTTTGTATTTTTCTGCTATTAATTCTAAGACTAACTGCCATCTCGCTTTCCTCATTTTGGACTCCTGCTTTTGTTGTTTAAAGTATTATTATTAGACAGCAAACAGCTGATTGTCAAAACTTTGCCGGCTCGGTGAAAGCAGCCTGTTTTTCCCTTGCTACCGCTCGTTCCTGCTCGGTCCCGCCATCAGAGGCTTGCTGTGGACACCCATGGGAGGTCCCGGAGAAGTGGCCAGGCGGGAACCCCGGCCCCAGCTCGGAAGATCTAGTTTGCCAAGGGCCGGGCAATGGACTCTGTTACTACCCAACCCAGCGCCCATCACTGGGCTTCTGCCTTCTCTTATTGACTCTCTGCTTCATGAACTGAACTATTTATCATATCCATGACCACGAACTCTCTATTGGTGCCTGACTTGAGAGGCTGACAGCCTCCGCTTCCGCGGATCCTTTTCAAAGTTTATGAAGCCTCCAGTTTGTGCCATAATAAAGATCAAATATTGTAATAAATTTTCCTGGGATGGGGATGGGGTTTTCCCCTTATGAAATGTGTGTAAGGAGATATTGTATGAAATGTAAATGTTCCCAACCCTGCCTTTCCTGCCGACCTTTGCCCCACAAAAGATGTGACCTGAAGATTACTGTCTTGCCTTGGGGAGGAAGCTCCTTTGTTCTCCCCAAGACCCTTCCTGATTGTTTCACTTGCACGGACCATACTGTTGATCCCCCAACCCTGGCCCTCAGAGCAGACCAGCGAGAGGAGGGGGGTCAACAGAAACTCGGAAAGAAAAGATTGATTTAATCACCCAGGTATCGTTGATCCCCCTTTGAGGTCCGATATCGAAAAAAGCCTTTTCATATTTCCCCCAAATCCCATCACAGACCAGGAAACTCATTGTTCCCCTATCTGGCACCCCGCCAGTGAGGACAAAAGCCTCACATTCCAGCTGGCGGATGCCCTTAAGCTTATCATTTCCTCAGCCTTTGTCAGGCTTCGTCCCGCCTCCTAGCTGCCAATTGGTCCATCTTCAGAGGTGCTAGGAAGGCACTGATTGGCCTCCCAGAGGCAGCGGAGCCCGCTGATTGGTCCGGAGGCGAGGCGTGCTGCCAAGCCTCCTCCCAGCTGTTCCGCGGCCAGCCAACCAGCACGAAGCCGGCCGACAGAGGGCGGGCGGGAGTTTTGAAACTGTTTTCCTTTGTCTGTGTACTATAAAAATGCTTGGAAATTCTGTAAAATTATGCTTGTGGTGGAATGATCCCTGCAATGCATCTGATTTCAGCTGAATCACAAATAAACTTCGGTTGCTGGAAACTTCTTCCACTTTGATGAGGCATTAATTGTAATATTTTGGGATTGGCTTCGCTGGCCTCACCAAAGGTTCAAGGGCCCTTTTGAGTGGTCCTCGGGGGACTCCTTCGCTGGGGAAACCCCCTCCAAAAGAGCTCGATATCATTTCCAATCTGTGCAAAGCGGTTCTGATCCAATTCAGTCAGAACTAAAATGTGATTCATCTTTGTGCTATTTAATTAATGCGGTGTGTAGTTCAGCTCTAGTATTTTTAAAAGCAAATAGATATTGCTTCTTATTGTTTTTCCCCTCAAAATCATATAGCCAAGTAGGTCCAGAACCAAAAAAAGGTAAAGAACAGCTTTTAATTCATAGGAAAATATGCATAGTATTAATTCCTGAACTGGAAACCTGTTGATCTCTTACCTCTTTACTGCCGTATGCCAAAATGGCTCGAACTAAATCTTGGAGGGTCTGTAGTTCAACATGCAGGGCCCGGCTTTTGTTTCCTGCTCTTCTTCGGGACTTTCTACATTCTTTCCATCTCCTTGATGGTTTAGCTAGATCTTCAGAGTAGAGAATTAGGGCACCTGTTCTGGTGCTGTACGTCTTAGGAAGACATAGTTTATAGTATCCCTCCAGAACCTGGCTGTTACCTAGTAGTTGACTGATAGGAGAATGGGTTTCAGGAGATGTCCAGTTCAAGTAATCCTAAAATGGAAAGGAAGAGGAGGTCAATAAAGCAATCACAAGGAGGGTGTTAGGAAGCCTGACAAATTTACTCACTTGCATATACATCTCGGGCCCTTCCACACAGCCATATAACCCATAATATCAAGGCATATAATACACAATAACTGCTTCGGTTATTGTGGATTATCAGATAACCCTAAGTGGGTTATCTGAGTTTGCGCTGCCGTATAATCCAGTTCAATGCAGAATTTCTACCACTGTGTAGAAAGGACTTGAAAGTACCAATCACAGAGTTGGAAGAGACCTCATGGGCCATCCAGTCCAACCCCCTGCCAAGAAGCAGGAAAATCGCATTCAAAGCACTCCCGACAGATGGTCATCCAGCCTCTGTTTAAAAGCCTCCAAAGAAGGAGCCTCCACCACACTATGAGGCAGAGAGTTCCACTGCTGAACGGCTCTCACAGTCAGGAATATCTTCCTAATGTTCAGGTGGAATATCCTTTCCTGTAATTTGATAGGTGGAATATCCTTTCCTGTAATCATTGTTCTGCGTCCTAGTCTCCAGGGCAGCAGAAAGCAAGTTTGCTCCTTCTTCCCTATGACTTCCTCTCACGTATTTATACATGGCTATCATGTCTCCTCTCTGCCTTCTCTTCTTCAGACTAAACATGACCAGCTCTTTAAGCCGCTCCTCATAGGGCTTGTTCTCCAGACCCTTGATCATTTTAGTTGCCCTCCTCTGGACACATTCTAGCTTGTCAACATCTCTCTTCAATTGTGGTGCCCAGAATTGGACACAGTATTCCAGATGGAAGAGGTGGCAAGGCTCCTGCTCCTGCCAATGCTGCTGACCTTGCTACCCTCGCTCGCTCACTCACCCACCCTCCCTTGCTTGCTTACTCACTGGGCCGGGTCCTGGAAAACTGTGAAACAGTGAGTCCACAAAAAGAAAACAGCGAAGTAGCGAGGGAACACTGTACTTCAGTGTAGATGGGGCCCCATAGGCATGTTGACTACAAATCTCCAATATAAATAAATTCAATTTCCAAGGTAAACAGACTCCCAGCAGCTTCCAGTCTGCAGTGGTGGTTTCATATGCCCCACAAACATTTGGTGTGATCTTTTAGCAATCTATTATATGACAATGATTACAAAAGGATGTATGTACATGGTTGCCTCTGCATTCCTGGGATCAGCTGGAAGCCAGCAAAGGCTGTTCCCTGTGATTTGCACATGATGAGCCTGTCACAAGATCAGGGCCCCAAAAACATGAATTGGATTTCCGTCTCCACAGTGGACCACTGTAGTCCTCCAGTGCAAACCTATCTGGGTGGTAGATCAAGTCTTGAGGCACAACCATGTGACAAGTTGCCACAGAAGCCAATGGCTAAGGAAGACCTTTCCAGAAAATGTACCATATGTGCATGTTATGAATATGCCTTTGTTACAGACGAGATTCTAGTTATTTTCCATCTGTGGGTACTGGACTATTTTCTTTCCTGGGCACTCAAGATACAGCATTTTCTGCACAGTTCTAATATGATCTTTCTCCTCCCTACTATGTATGTGCACAGTTATTAATATTAGTTTAGCCATTGTTTCGATTTGTTATATGTTGTTTTCGGCATTGATTGTTTGCCACTGTGTTATTTTTGCTGGAAACCGCCCTGAGTCCCCTCGGTCATAAATAAATTATTATTATTATTTTACTGACACACAAAAAAACAGTATGTCACAGCAAATGAGAGATATATGCTGGATTTTGTATTATTATTATTATTATTATTATTATTATTATTATTATTATTAGAAACAGAACAAGATGAGTCCACAGCAAACAAGGTCACTCTGCTGGCTGTTGTATTGGTTCACACGTCAGACACTTCCCAATTGTCTAGGACTGTGTGATGTATTGGCTAACAATGTGGGCAGATCCCAGTAAGGTGGTCTTTTGCAGCTGGCAGATGGAAATTTTGTCAGCGCCAATTGTATTTAAGTGCAGGCCAAGGTCTTTAGGCACTGCACCCAGTGTGCCGATCACCAGTGGGACCACCTTGACTGGCTTGTGCCAGAGTCTTTGCGCAATTATTATTATTATTATTATTATTATTATTATTATTATTATTATTATTTGAAACGCAACAAGATGAGTCCACAGCAGAGATGGGGCAGTCTACAAATAAATTATTATTATTATTATTATTATTATTATTATTATTATTATTATTATTATTAACACAACAAGATGAGTCCACAGCAGACAAAATTACTCTGCTGGTTGTTGTATTGGATCACACGTCAGACACTTTCCAAGTGTCTAGGACTATGTGATGTATCAGCGAAAACTGTGTGTAGATACCAGTAAGGTGGCCTTCTGCAGCTGGCAAATGGTAATTTTGTCAGCACTGATAGTGTTGTTGTTCCGTCTTCCAGGAGCTTGGTTTGCATTGCCCCTTAGTAGCTTGAAATAGCATCCCTTTGCATTTCCCCCAGGGTTGCTATAGTCTTAGCAGCACCCTAATAGTCAAACATTAACAGAAGTTGGAAGCCAGCCTGCAAGCCTTTTGCAGCTATTGGCTTAAAAAAGTATCTCTTTGGTCCAGAGACCGCCCTTTTTCCTGGGGATGAGATCTCCATTTTGAAGAAGCTCTCCTGCCTTCTTCAGTTTAGAAAAAGCCTCAGATGTCCTGGTGGCCAAGCTAGGCAGCTCGGACAGGCCATCGTGAGTACGGTTACCCTCTTGCCTTGGAAACTGGTGCTGAGCTCAGATAGGGGAAGAGCTGCTCTTTCTGAAAGACAGCAGCTCAGCGCTGGGGCTGAGAATATCTCAGGATTTCTCTGCCATTGGGAGAGGCTCCATTACTTCATCCCCAAACTAACCTTGAGCTTGGTTAGGGGAAGACCTGCTCTTTCTAAAAGATAGCAGCTCAGGGTTAGGGTAAAAGGTCCCAGGATTTTTCTACCGTTGGGGAAAGTTAACTCAGCAACTGAAGGAAAAGGGAAGGAAAGAACATCTATATGGTTTCACAAGTTGACTGTTTGTGTTGTAACTTCATCAAGCTGTGCCAAGTCTGTCAAGGACTTTGAGAAATAAATGTTCTGTTTGATGTCCAAACCTGGACTGGCCTCAGTTGCTGAAAATCCTGAGCTTCTAAGTAAGGCACTCGCAGTTAAAGAGAGAAGCACATCTAAGTTTTAACTTTATAGTGTCTGGGTGTGACGGCACAGTTGTTGTTGTTGCTGTTGTTGTTGTTGTTGTTGTTGTTGTTATTATTATTATTATTATTATTATTATTATTATTATTATTATTCCAGGCTGGACTATGTGATGTGAATCAATTTCCAATGCAATGAAACAGACTACAAACATTATGCGTGCACATAGATATTTTGCTTTGGAAACTGTAAACCAATGGGAACAAAAGCACTGGCAAAAGTCACAAACTGCTTCCGCATTGGCTAGGACTTATGAGACAGAAAAATAATTGTACCGTGATTTCTACATTAGTAACTTTGCTGCCACATGATAACTTTTAAAACTAGAACTCACCTCAGGGTGAAAATGCACCTCCAGCTTCTCTTGTTTGTTTCTGATCACTTCTCCAGCCCCACGACTTAACAAAGATAGACTGGACATTATTCACAAATCTATTGACTTTCCCATCTGCTTTTGAAAATGTAACTTTGCTCCTTTGTAAGGGTTCCTCATTTGCGTTCTGCCGATAGAGCTAGACGATCGTGTTAAGAGTGGCTCTTTAGACTGGAGACATCAGTCCATTATTCTGTCCTGTATTAAAAGTACAAACAGAACTATCAAAACAACCGTATACTGTAGAATCACAGTCCTCGGCTTTGTTTTCCCTCTCTAGGTTATTATTTTTCTTATCATCTCTCTTCCTTCCGTTCTGGTTGGCCCAAGAATCCGCGAAACGCCACTGCCATCCTTATTGTGCTCTGAGGTTGTTTCTGCGTTGCCATGGCACCAAAAGGAAATTAAGTTGTTTAAACCAGCAAGAGGGAAGGGCGGGAAGGGAGAGAAAGAGAGCAGATTTCGGAAGGCCCAGGATCAGATTCCAAGAATGCATTGTCCTGCAAAACCCCCCACTGAAAGAGCAATATTATCCTTCTTGCACCCGGCAACATCCAAAAGTCTGCTTCCCCCCTTCTCCCTATTAAAAGCTGGACTGCAGCTGATGTACGCTTCCTTTTTTTGTCACAGATTGCACCCTTTCTTGTACTTCACTCTCTAGTTGTGGAAGGAGGGAAGTGATGATGGTGCCGCCACTAAACATTGCTTCATGAAAGAGCCAGCAGCCTTTTGTGATCTGTCCAAAATCTTTTGCTTGCCTTACTCCTGATCTTTATCCTGTCATTGATCCTCGTTGCTCTCTCCTTCCCCCTCAGACTCACATCCATTTTGGAGAATTGCAAGATGGAAGAGAAGCCTTTCCGATGAACATTTGAAGGATTAGATGCCCCTTGCTTGTCCACTATTATCTTCTTATCTCCGCAAGTATTACTACTCCCCTGGTAGTAGATTCCTCTAATTTTTCATCAAGAAGTATAGGATCTCTTACTACAGCTCTCTGGGTTTTGCCACGGTTTGCAAATAGGGCACTTACAAAGGTATTTTTTTTAAAAGATGAAGTCCACTGAGGTGGACCTATGGTCTGAAAGCGAAGTTTTCATCCATTTCTTTAAGAGTAATCTATAGGTTTGTGTAGGGGCCATGGTTAAACCACTAAGCTTCAGAAGTTGCTGACTGGAGGTTCGGTGGATCGAATCCATGGGATGGGGTGAGCTCCCACTGCTAGCCCCAGCTTCTGCCAACGTAGCAGTTTGAAAACATGCAAATGTGAGTAGATCGATAGGCTTGGTTGGAAAAAAAATGGTTCAAAACTTGTTTCAGAGGTAGGGGGCGTTGGTGGTTCGATTCGGAATTGAATTCCAATTTTTTCCTAAAAAAATTCGGAACTTTCTGAAATTTCCGAAATTTCTGAATCGCTTCGTTAATGGCAGAGAGAGACCTTAAAGCCCTGTACTCTCACGCTCAGAGGCGGCCCTAGGTAATTTTCAACGGTAAGCAAACAGTATTTTGGCGCCCCCCCCCAACCAATCATTGATATGGAGCAGGAACGAGAGGGGCTAGGTGAGGCTCAAGGGCCCGACCCCTTCGGGAAGAGGATCGCCCAGCAGTGAGGCAAGGAAGCTGAGGCTCCCCCCGGACTGCTAGGGATGTTGTGAGCCAAGGGGGCGCTCCTCAAGTGGTGGTTGAGGGGCATTTACATAGGCGCCTCTGCGCCCCTGGCAAAAAAAGTGTACTGCGACCGCTTACTTTGTGTAATGGATGAACTGCCCCTGCTCACGCTAGTGCCCCTTTTGGTGCTAGCGCTAGCTGTCCCCTCTCTGACTAGCTCTTAACTGATAATGCTACTTATATGTCAAAGCGAAACCTGGGCCAAACAATGGCTCTGAACTCAAAACGCTCTTAAGGTGGGTTGCTCCTAAGTCAAGGTTCTACTCAGTTCAGTTATGAACCAGACTTCTGTACTGCAATAAGCCAGGACAATTTCAGCTGACCATTGCTCCTTGGAACCTGGAAACTGTAGTCGCTCAACTTGGAATAAGCCAGGATCTTACACTAATGGTTTGCATGTTACAGGAAGCTATAGTTAATTACAGACTCCTTCAGTTAGTTGAATGTATACTGAAAAAGAAAGTGGCTACATGCCAGAATAGAAGGCTTGTTCATATCTCAATAAGATTTTATCATCCAAAACGAATCTTAACATCCTTTTAACATGAAGACCAGTTACTAGAATGTTGATACTTCTGTCAAAGCACTAGATATTGAATAGCATGCAATGATTGGTGCTTGGCCACGGTGGTCCACGCTCTGGTTACATCCCGTATTGACTACTGCAATGCTCTCTACGTGGGGTTGCCTCTGAAGACTGCCCGGAAGCTGCAATTAGTCCAACGATCGACAACCAGATTACTAACGGGAGCGGGGTACAGGGAGCGCGCAACTCCTTTGTTGCACCAGCTCCACTGGCCGCCAATTAGCTTCTGAGCACAATTCGAAGTGCTAGTTTTAACCTACAAAACCCTATATGGTTCCGGCCCGGTTTACTTGTCTGAATGTATTCTCCCCTATGAACCACCAAGACAATTAAGATCTTCTGGTGGGGCCCTGCTCTCGGTCCCACCACTTTCACAATCGCAACTGGCGGGAATGAGAGACAGGGCCTTTTCTGTGATGGCCCCTTGGCTATGGAACTCTCTCCTGATTGAGATAAGATCTACCCCCTCCCTCCTGTCCTTCAGGAGGCTGGTATTTATTTATCGTGTCATCAGCAACCAGACATTTGTATTACATTTTTAACAAAAAGAAACAAACAAACAAACAGACAAAACACAGAATTTGCAAGCTTGGTAGTTGATTAAATGTCCTTTGACCAGTATCGGGCCACTTGGGGTGCCTCTGGTGTTGCCGCAAGGAGGTCCTCCATTGTGCATGTGGCAGGGCTCAGGTTGCATTGCAGCAGGTGGTCAATGGTTTGCTCTTTTCCACACTTGCATGAGGAGGCTGGTGAAATCCTGGCTATGGAAGGAGGCATTCCCAGAGTAATGGTTGAAACCGGCTACAGAACAAAGTTATCGACCACACATACAGACTGAGCTGGACATGATTTTATCTTGGCGATTTGGCTTATTTGTAATTTTAATCGATATGTATTTTAACTCGTTATTATTTGATGATTTTAGATTGTACTGTTAGCATTGAATCCTTGCTGTAAGCCGGTCTGTGTCCCTTTATGGAGGTTGAGAAGATCGGGATATAAAAGTTTTAAATAAATAAATAAATAAATAAATAAATAATAAAATAAGGGATGGCTTTTAAAACTGGCACATAGGAGGGGGGTTGTCTATTGTGCAAATGGCGCTCACGAGTGTGCAAGGACATGGAAACTGTCGGCCACTAAAATGTCATTCTTCTTGGAAATACCATCTGCAGTGTGCTTTCTAAACAGGACAATCAGTAAATTTTGAATGAAACAGGGGTGTTGTTTTCCTTTTGTATTGCTGTCATTTTTCACTCCGCAGAAGCAAAATCTTCATTTTACGGCAGGATCAGAGAAAACCTTTTCTTTCCAAACTTGCTTTTAAAGCTAAAGCTAATTTGTCTTAGGAATTCAATTGAACTGGCAGGGAGAGAGGGTATTAATCTGGCTTTAGAAGAGGAAAGCATGCCATTGATACCGTGAGGGCGTTGTATTCACTGCAGAAACTGGTACAGTCTGTCAAGTGCACTTGAGCGTCAATCTTCTCAAAGTGCCCCCCTGCTGCCACGTACAAAGTTATACAGCAGGCTACCTTCAGTTGGATTTTGTAGACTGCCTTTCACGCAACGTGTTCTCAAAGTGCTTTACAAAATACAAACGTCAACAGAAAATGTACAAAAACAAACACACCTTCAAGTACAAGATAAGAGTTTCCCAAGGAGATAGAAGCAGCTTTTATACACTGGGCATTAGAAGAGAAGTAGACATCTGCTGATTTATATGTTCAAAGGGGGAGAACATTTGGATATTTATCCACACTGGTTTCTTATATAGAGAGACTGAAAGCCGAAAGCCACTGATTATCACTCAGGGACACTTCTGTGCAGTCTCTGAACACATTAGTCCATCTGAATCATGCATGTGCCGTGTGTATCTTTATAGATGACTCTCCTCTATTTTAATGGCTGTCCAGTGCAAGTCCAGTTTGGAGAGGTGGCTTTGTATTTCTACATGAAATCTTTAAAGTTTTTATTCTAAACTTTAAATGACCATGATATTTATGGGCTGAATAACAACACATTATTATAATTAATTTTGTAGGGTTGCATCAGTTTCTGGTGATTTTAATTGCTTCTTTAATAGAAATGAAATAATGCACTGGCATATTATTAACAATTATAATAAAGGATTACTTTTATAATTTCCATTAAAATGATTAACATTAGCTAGTGGCATGTCAAATTAATATTGAAACATGCTAATTTTGTGACGCTGCATCGCCAGACTGAATGCCTAAGAGAGAATCCTTGATTTTCATCTAACCAGCTGCAGTGACCAGGAAAAGAAACTTTTCATTTGAAGCATCCTATTCATGGACCACTTTTATGAAATCTTTCTAGACATAAAATTACATTTGGTCCAGCTGATGATGTTCGATCTGTACAAGATAACATTATACTTTTAAGAAAGAAACTGTCTACTTTGACTAAATGTTGGTAATGTAATACAGTTTGAGGCAGCATAGTATAGTGGTTCTTAATCTGTGGGCTGCAGACCACCAGTGGGCCGCAAGGATGAAAATCTGGTCTCCGGGTCTCCTTCCTCTTTATTTTATTTTATTTTATTTCCACTCCATTCATGCTACCTGCCAGTCCTGCCCTGTTTCTAGGTGGCTGGTTGCTTCTTAATCACAAAAACATCTTTGAAAACTCAGCTTACACATCAAATATCAATACGCCTAATAGCTAAAACTTTATGTTAATTTACTTTCTCATGAGCAGGTCCTCCAATGAGAGCGGTCATTATTATCCAATTGCACTGATACGTTGAATCCTCTGGTGTCCTTTGCTTGTTCTACAAGTATGCCTTGTTTTTGCTGCTCCTCTTCATTTTATTGTTATTGTTCTGGGCATTTTGGGGGGCATTTTAACCACAATATTGTGGCCTGGACTGATATGGGAGGTGGTCTATGGAAGTGATACCACGAGTTACTGTGCTGGTACGGCTGTACCAGGAGCTCCAATTTTATTTGCTTTGTATTAAATGTTTGCTTGCAGTCCATGGTTCCTGGGTTTCTGCAGATAGGTGGCTTCCTTTGGTTGCAGTCGTAGGGCAAGTCATCTGTCCATCATCGTTAAGTTTTGGTTCTGCCCCTTGCTCAGGGCAATTGGGAAGGGAAGGGAGCCATTTTTAGTTAGTCTCAGTAAGGAAAGCTAATGTACAGGACGTGTACAAGCTTCTCCTGTACAAAAGCTTCAACCCTTAAGATTTTCTAGGGGAGAACAGTCTTAAGAGTCTTGAAAGATTTCTAGGGAAACAGCCCTAAAGACCAAAGAACTCCAGCTGGAGAATCTTCTAGCCTTACTGGTAGGTCCAGTCGGCGTTCAAGACGCAATTCGACCCAGTAGCGGAGCCCACATC